TGCAGGTCAGATAATTGAGAGACTTATAAAAGGCCTGACATAATGTATTGGTAGAGTAATACAACAAGTTGTAGTACATATTCTACAAGATCTACTTTGTAGATTGCAATATGGGGAACAAGGTTATGAAGAGCTCGAAAAGATAAAATTGATCACTGATTTAAGCTTTGGTCACACAACACATGCTCCAGAAGTTGATCTAGTTGCAAGGCTTGAAAAATGGTGGAAATCATAAAAAATTTCAGTATTGTAGCCAATTTTCTAGACATATAAGATATTTGTTGGTTTAAGTTCAACAATCAAAAGTTCGATCAGAAAAGGGTGAAAGTACCAGGTTGGAACATAGTGAAGAAGACTATGAAGGGAACTTTCGAATTCCATAAGCTCAAGGTCGAGCTTATTTCAACTTTGGGAGAATAATGTAATGAGTTTTTTAACTTCTTTTACTTTACTATTTTCTAGATTTTAGGTTTGAGATTAGTTTCAATTTCTAGTTTTCTTTAGGGGTATTTGTGTCTCTTTTAGTTGTAGAGAATTGAGCGGTATAGTTGGAAGTTAAATATTAAATAAATGAAGGGCTTGGGTATAATATATATTAGAATTTCTTAAAGAGCAAGTTAGGTTTTTGGAGTTGTTTTCTTTTGTAAATATGTAATTGTTGGACCACAAAAAGATAGAGAAAATGAGAAGAATTTATTTTGGGTTTTGTCAAGAGATTTTGGGTGGATTCTCTTACAGATCTTGAGAGAGGGTATATTCTCCCACCTTTTAATTTTATCTTTTAGTTTTCTAGTTTGTTTATTTTCTTTTTCCCCTTCGCCCTGCATCAACTAACAATTCAAGTGGTCTTTAAAGGATGTCATGTGCATAACAAGCTCGAGGTCGAGCTTCACCTAACCTCGGGAGAATGATGCAACGAGTTATTTATTTTATAGGAGATAAAAATTAGGGTTTGGGTTTATTTTGGGTTTCTAGTTTTCTTTAGGGGTATTTGTGTCGTTTTGGTTTGTAGAGAATTGTGGGGCAGAATTGGAAGTTTAATTTTTACAAGATGAAGGGTTATGATTTAGTATTGAATAGGATTTCTTAGGGAGCAAGTTATGTTTTAGTTTTTTTTCTATAAATATATAATTTGACAAGAAAAAGAAGAGATAAGAGAAGAAGAATTTATTTTGAATCTTGTGAAGAGATCTCTTTGGGATAGACTCCCTCACAAACCTTGAGAGGGTATAATTTCTCAACCCTTGTCTTATATTTTTCTGGTTTATTTATTTTCTTTCCCCTCCTCCCTACATCACACTATTTGCTTCAATCATGCTTGCTGCCTTAGGATAGATTGAATATCAAGTATGAGGTGGCAAATCTTATGATGACGGGCCTACTGAGTGCTCTATGCTGTCTCATTTAGCTCAGGATAGAATGATTGTATATAATTTTCACAATCCTTTTCCCTTTTCGAAGGCAACCCACTCACATACCTCGACTGGGCTATGGCTTACAACATGAGATCAATACAATGAGTTGAGCTAGGGCACCAAACTCAATTTTCTCTCTCATAAGCAACCTCCCTGCTTTCACATATCATTATTAGTAATTAGAAGCACCATAGTTTGTTCCCCAATATTCTCTACTACTCTAGTGCATCGTCTGAATTGGAGTCTTCCAGTCCTCTTTTGTGAGAGATCTACACTAGAATGGAAAATTGTACCTTTTGAGCAATAGATCAAGAAATTAACAATTTACCTCCCTTGCCTGTCCTTTCAACCATGAGACATTATTATCACCCAAGTCTTAGGCCATGAATGCTTAAAATCTTCAAGGAATAGGTTAACTTCGATCACCTCATGATGTAAACAACTGCTTGCAATCTTACTTGTAATTAGGACCTTAAATTTCAGCCTTTTCTTCGTCTATCATGCTTTCTTTCTGTCGCTTTCGAGGCTATGGGTTTTTTCTATGCTCCATATCATCCCACTATTTGCTGCATGAAATAGGTTAGCAGTGTAATAGAACCACCTTACAACTGCCCCTTGACATATTATCCTTAACTTCAATTGCTCATGAGGAATGAAGGGTCCTGTAGTGGTATTTGGGCCTAAAAGGGTCAATTTTAGAATGCTCAAGAGGTTGGTGTGGGGGTGGGGGTGGGGTTGGGGTTCAGGTTGGGGTTGCCAGGGCCGGGAACTATTAGAAAGTTGAGAAGATATAGAAGGCGTTCTCAAGGTGGAAGACCAAAAGAGCCCTGGCCCATGCCCTCCCATACCAGGCACTGCTGGTTTGAGAGGTGCCACTGGCTCGGGAAGAATACTGCTTGCATCTCCCGCCTGTCTAGCATTTATCTCATCAATTTCCATTTGTCCAATTTGGAGATTATCCATCTCTGCTAGAGTAGCCCTCCTTGTCTTCTCCATATGGGCCAGAAACTCTGCATTCTCATCTTCTGTAGTAGGTGCATGGTATTCATTGCCTATCTCCTCAATCACCTTGTATTTCCACATCTTCTTTCTTTTTACTGCCTCCAATGATTTCTGAATGTGCTCTTTAACTGCCACGGGTACTGTGCTACATGCTGAACATCAGTCTTAATTTTTGCAAGGTGATATTTTAGGCTACTAATCCCGCCTGTCATCTCTCCCCACAAAATTACACCTCACCCCTTCCTTTATCAGTCAATTTCTCCCCATACTCCCGTGCTGGATCTTCACTCATCAACTTCTAAGCCTACAAAAGCAAGATATATAAAAATTGAACACCTAACCAATGTTTTATAACTGATATAGCTCCTATTAGAACAAAATGCTTTCTAATAGTAAAACAGTACCTATCAACAAAAAAATAGTCCGTAGATGCAAAAGAAAATAGTACTTATTTTCACAAACAATAATTCCCATTAATATAAATTAGTTCCTATTATCAAATATTTTGTCTAAGCAAGATGGTAGAATAACATAAAATAAAGGTAAATGATATAAATAAAAAATGGTTCCTATTAGCAAGAAATAGTTTTTAGATGCAATACAAATAGTCAATATTCAAAATTCCTAGTTGCAAAAATATTTCCTAGTACAATAAATAGAAAACATTAGCCAAAAAATACTTCCTCTTAGACATAATAAAAACAAAGTTTCTTAAATGCAAAATATAGATCCTAGATGCAGCAAACAGCATAAAAAATTGTAAGTTATAACATTGAGTTTAAAACAAAATCACCGTTGAGTTTATGCATAAAAAAAATCAATAACTTTGAATTATTGGTTCTTTTGAGATAAAAATTCTCCTTCCAACACAATGGAAGAAAGATAAATCCAGATATAGCAATATGAATACAACGTAAGGACTATCATAACATTAAAAAAAACTTAACACTATAATTTCTACCAATTGCAGTCATCAAAATGGATCTCTGGGTACAAGAAATTGAGAAAAAGAAATTCTAACCAATATATGTCTTGCGATAAAATTTAACTAAAAATGCCACAAAATGCATGAATAACACAAATAATAGTGGAATGATTGATAATCCTAAAAATTCAACCTAACTTATGGATTTAAATCGCAAGAAATAGGATTTACCTGAAATTTTGAGGTTGATTTCCTGATCTGTATTCAGTGCGAGTCGGCTTGAAATCCTTGTCAGAGCTTCTAAATCCTTGTCAGAGCTTCTTTATGCAGCTGGAAAGTGAAACAAAACCCCCAAACAAATTATGGGTTCCAATTTGGATATAGGAGATCCAAGGTTCTTAAAAAAGTCCGATGTCGATTTTTTTTTTGGATCAACTAGCCTATGATTGGATCAAGAACACAAAGATAAGGCCAGGTTTGGCTTTCAGCAAGGATCACCATTGGATTCGGAGAAATCATTGCTTTTCAAAATTGGGCCAAAAAACAAAACACCAATTTCATTGATCTACAAGATCAAAGACACCAAATCCAATTTAATCCAATTTATTGTGAAAGAATAAAACACATGACGGTGGCTTGCCTCTACTCCGTCAAAGACAAGGTAGAGTATCACACTACATCACTACTAATGCCTATCAATTGAATAATAGGTGATCCAATTTATTGTGAAAGGACAAAACATATGGCGGCGGCTTGCCTCGACTTCGTCAAAGACAAGGTAGAGGATCATAATGCCTATCAATTGAATAATAGAAGCTTTCGCTAGAAATATTCTCCAATGCCTTGTCCCATGGCCAACTTGACTTGACTTCCTTAGAAACAAGATATCTATGCTTCTCTTTCCATCTTGAAGGGTAGTATTGAAAGTCAATGTTACTCATTACTTTTAACTTATGATGTGTCTAACTAATATTTGTATCATATTGTGTATGAGTAATGATCCTATGAGACCCGCCCACACCCATGTGTGTAGGACCCCAAAGGATCAGAATTAAGTTTGGCACAGATCTCTAGAAAAGTCAAGTCCCACACCCATGTGATAACTTTTCTAGAGATCTGTGCCAAATTTAATGGTGATCCTTTGAGGTCCTACACACATGGGTGTGGGAGGGTGTCACAGGATCATTACTCATTGTGTATTGGTAAGGATACACATGGTTTTGAGTTTAGATGTATGCTGTCAGGGTAGTAGCTGATTAATTTTTATTGCTTTTCACCTCTGTCATTCTCTCAATAAAAAGTCTCTCTTAAAAAAAGAAGAAGCAAAAAAGTGCCTCTCCATATCTCAGATTTTGGTTGAGGTTTCATTCTCCAAGTTCTATTTTATGTGCATAATGAAAATTTTCTAGATCATACCTTAAAGAGAAATGTAGATTTCTGTGCAAGAGATATTATCCATTGTCTGTTTTGAATCTTTTGATATTCTAAACACAGTAAGACATTCCAATGATTCTCTTTTGCTTTCTTGCTGATATTGGCCACTATTGTTTTGGTGCTTACATCTTATCTTTCTCTGCTTGCTTTTATATCTCTTCTTTCTTTTTATGAAGGCCATCTCTTTACTGCTGATTTGTAATATTTAGTTTTTAATTTTTCAGTATATGGAGATGAAGTCAAAATCAAAACCTTTGGAAGGAAAAGATACATCCCATCTGCATGCTGACTTATCGACTCTTGGATCACATACAGCTGATGTTGAGTCAGTTTGTTCAAAAGCGCTAGAAATGCTACAAGAGCGTACAAAGGCAAGACATGATTATGTTCTTGATAGGCATCCTACAGGAGAACTTCAGTTTTCTAATGTTGCAAGCACTAGTAATCATGAGAATAATGAATTGCAAATTTTTGGCAATGATGATATCATGAAATTCAAGCTATCAGAAGAATGCCTGTGTAGGACTTATTTTGAATGTAGATTTGATAGGTATGCTAATACGTCCTAGGGTTTGATAGAAAGGTTTCCAATAAATGCAATTCTGGAGAGCGATGTTGGATCAAACATATTACCTCCATCTTTTCTGGCAAATACGTATGCATCTATGAGGTATCTCTCTTGAAGATCAGAGTTTCTTCATATCTTTTTCCTTTTTGTATGAGTAATGTTTACAATATTGATTATATTTCCATGTGCATTGTGTATTTGTTATAATATTGTTTCAGCTGCATCTTTATTGAAAGGTTATAGTAAGCATCTTCCACATTGTGAGTTTTGAACTCCTCCCATTTATTTCATCATCATTATCATGAAAGCCATTTCCCAACTATTTGGAGTCGGCCACACGAATCCTGGTCCGCCATTTTGCTCTATCGAGTGCCATATCTTCCGGTACAGTGCATCGCTTGCATGCAACACCTTAGCATAAGCAGATGACCTAGATTCATGATTCATGGAATGTTTTGACAAATTTTACGTTGGCTGCCTACCTAACACAACCCACCTCCTTTACTTGGGCTTGAGATGGGTTAAGGGAAAGTTTAAGGTCCTCACCCTTCTTAGGCCAAACTCCTCCCATTTATTTATGAGTGCAAAATGTAATATGCCTATAAGCCTTTAATATTTGGATTTTTAGATACATTATTTTTTTAATGAATTTTCAAGAAAAAGGAATTAGGATATTTCCAAAGCTTTTAGCAATCTGATTATATAAGAATTTCTCGTATAGCTGTTGCTTCTAAGTAGTGTTTTAAAACATGGCTTGGAGGGGTGCCTCGACCAATCACCGATCCTAATCCCGATCGGCGAACCGGACCAGCTGGATCAGCTATAGGGCAAAATAATAAAATAGAAGAGACACCTAAATAAAGGGAGGATTCTGCTATTAGTGCTTAGGGAGGTTTGAACCTCCAACCAAGTGCTATAAAGCCGCATACGCTAGCCAATTAAGCTGTTCAAGCTAATTGCTACAATATCACATACCATATAATATGTGATATACTAGTATGTAATATTATCGATTGAGAAAATAATGATAAGTACTATTAGAGCATCAAAAGGAAGCTGAATCTCCAACCAAGTGACTTTCAGCCACCCATACTTGCCAATTGAGCTATTCCAATCATTTGGTATATTTTATATATCTTATATTCTATATGTTTATCAAAGTGTGTAGTTTGACTAGGAATCGGCATGGTCTCAGACGATTCTTGATCTGGATCGGTGATTTTCCAGTCCCTGCTTTTAAGTAAAGATATTTTATTTTGAGCAGAAGTTAAGATATTTCTCATGTTGATAGTTTTTAAGAAAGGCTGGGAATGTAGAGCTTTAATTTGGTATACTTGAATCAGAGGTTTGAATGGATTGTCCTATGAAGAGAGTTTATTCGTTGGGGTTATGTTATATGAAGGAAATGCCCTGCTGATCACTTAGTTCAACTCCACCCCATTAAGCAACTGTTAGCTTCAAAGATGAACTCTGCCTTGTGACTTGGAAGGGAGCTCTGCTGCTGCTCTCGGTTATGACTTAGAATTATTAAGTTCTAAGTTGTGTGATGTGAGAATATTTTGTTCACTAGTCTCTTGATGGATTACGTACACGATACAGTAAAGTGGGCTAAAGACATATCTGACTGGAGAAAAAGTGTGAGGGAAAAGTTACCATTACTGCCCATGCCATGTGCACAACACCACTTTGATACTATCTCTGTAGTTTCCAAATGCAATCAGGTCTCTCAAGACCCATTGTCAACCCAAACTGGAGCAAAATCAGGTATAGTCAAAATAATATTGTGTTGGGTCAAAGTTATGTAAAACGATATACTTCCTTAGGGCCTTGTAAGGGTTTTTTCATCAATAACCCCATCATGTCGACCAGCTCATGTCATGGGTCAATCCCAGCGGGAGGTTTGTTGAATTGGCTCAAGTTTCGAGTCAGCCAACAAATATCTAAGTGCTCTCTCTTAAGTTAGCATGCTAGTCTGAAGAGTTTATCTCTGTTATTTAGTTTCTTGTTTATAACCGCGTTAGTCGTAAAATGTGGTTACCTGTCCTTTAATCATCTCGATATTATGATGTTCAACTTCCATGTGTTTTTGCCTTCCATGCTCTACAAGGTTATTTGATCACTCTAATTCTCACACTAGACAGTCATGGGCCATCTAAGCTGATTCCCGATGTATGTAATGAGATTGGGCTATTAGGTATAACTTTTGATGCTATGACTGTGTGCATCTTAATTGGCTCAGTACTTGAATTGCCTGTGGTCAATTGTCTCTCGCTTCTCAGGAAACAAGATTTTTTTTGTCCATTAAAATGAAAAACCATGGAGCAAAATATGGCTATGGCAGGAAACAAGATTTTCTTTTCAGAAAGCTTAGGGAATGTAACTCTCCGTTGCTGGACAAATGGCTATGGGAGTACACACACAGAAAATGATCACCTATGGCAAATGGTGATTATAACACAATTATGGGTACGAAGCCGCTTTTTGGCTACATAGAGGAAGAGCCACTAGTCAAGCTCGTGAGCTTGGAAAGCTATTGTTAGCAGCCTCATGGCTTTCTTAAGCAATATTCAATTCAATATGTACCAAAAAATGGGGACCACCTGTTTTTGGGTGGATCTTCAGGTGAGCTTCTAATCCTTGGGGCTGGACTTCCCAAATCTTATCTCCACAGCTGCCGATCAGAAAGCAACTGTCTTGTGTTACTACGAGTAACTAGAAGGCTAGATTATATGGATGCTAGGTTTAGGCACGACCTGGATGGCAACGAAGCCACAGAATTGGCATCCTTGTCGGCGATCCTTCAAAAACCACTACGTGCCCCACTCAGGCAGTGACAAGTTGGTCTGCTGCCGGCCCACTACTGGTTTATTCTCGGTTTCCTCCTTCGATGGTGCCCCCATCACCTCGGATGGAAGCCCTGTCACGATCTCAAAGGCCTGGTTCACCCCTGCTCCTCCAAATCAGTTGGTTGGTTTACTTGGTTGTATTTAAAAAGGCACTTACCCGGGACTGTATGCAGAGGAGGTATCCCATTCCCAAATAGATGTACGATGTGCATGGACAACAAGTTCCATCGTTTATCCCTTCATCCCTGCAAGTTTTTGGATTCTACTTGTTACCCCCTTCCCTGCCACGGTCTTTCTATGGCATATTCTATTTTCGTCTCCATTTGGTCCATGTGTATATATTGGCCCTTTTGTTTGGTGTATTTCTATTTTTCACCTGCATCTGGTCCATCTGGCTCGACTGGAGCAGGTGCATCTTTGAGGGCAAGAGCAAAATAATCTCCATCTACGATTGCCTGAACCCATTATTCTAGGCCCAGAATCATAAATCTACCAGGTCTTACTTCTTGGTTGCCCTGGGTCAGAGTGGGAGACACGTTATATGGTCTGCCCCCAATGGCAATCACAAGATCATCGCATTGGCACCCACCTAAGTTTGGAGTCACCAAACTCAACTTCTTTCTTTCTTTTTTGTTTTTGTTTTTTATTTTTATTTTTTGATAATGTTAAGTCTATATTGATATAGTGAAAACCCAAAACAAAATCTGTACAAAATGGCAAGACACACAAAATTCATACAAAAAACAAGACAACCGTTCTGATTAGGTCTGGCGTCTTATTACACCCAACTCAACTTTGACAGGTGCTCTTCGGCCAACCTTGGCTTGGCCGGCATTGTGGGAGTGTTTAGGCTCCACATGGGAGTGATCCTGTTAACCTATTCAGGTCCTGTTGGTTTCTCAGACAACTTCAGCTGAAGCCCAGGCACTGCTCACAGGTCTTAAGTGTTTAGCAGGAATATGAGAACCTCTCTTTTGATTGAAGGCGACTCCCAAAATGTCATTCCTTGGAACAAAAAGGTCTTCCCCTGTCCTTGTTGCCTAAAACACATAATTCGATCAAAGTTTCGAGCTTGTCTCTCATTACAATTTAGATGTTACTTTTACATATTTGTCGCAAGAGGCAAATTCTCTGGCATACTTTAGTGAAAAAAGGGACATTCAGAGCAGGATTTTTTTTTTTTTTTTTTTAAATTGTTAACTTTTGTATTGGTGAAACGGATGTATAAAACATTGAAGCACCCACAGACCGGATGTTTGTATACAAAACTCCTTACGAGGTCCAAAAAATGCTATACAAGCCTAGGTTCAATAGGAAAGTAACAAAAAGGTAAGGTCTAAAGCTCAAAGAGGTGCTCAAAAGTCTCTTGAGTGTTCTTCTATGAGGTGCCATCCTTAGCAAGGGTGTCGGCTGCAGCATTGGCTCCCCTCCACGTATATTGCCAAGCGACGTGCATATCCCTGCAAAGGTGGAACCATGGAAGATTTCGTAAGAAATGCACTCCAATCTCCAAGGGCAGGGGGAGGATTTAGATGCCCATGCCATGACATTTTTGGAATCGCCCACAATACTCAAGGTTGCACTCCAGGATGGATTGAGCTTGCGAAGTCCCATGGGAAGGGCTAAAGCTTCGGCCACAGGGGAGTTGGCTTAGCCAATGCAGTGGGAAAAGGAGTGCACACTCCCAATGCATGGAATTGGGATATGGATGGAATATAATGAAATAGAGCCACTTTGAGGTTCCCTATGAAATGAGGCATGGAGCGGAGCCACTATAAAGAAGTTCCAGGAGTTATGAAGAAAGCTTCGGGCCCATATTGGTAATGGGTTGAGAATGAGAGTTGAACTCTATGAGATCTAATCTCTCGTTGTTCCTCAGTAGCTTAGTGGTAGAGTGGTCGGTTGTCAACTGTCAAGGCTCTTTTTGAGAATGTGACCCAGCTGAACATTGGATCTTGGGGCGAATGAAGGAGAACTAGGCTCTGGCCCGGTAGGGAGGTGGGGGGGGAGGGCGGGGTGGGAGGTGGGAAAGGGGGCCTTTGGAGATTCTTGCAAAAAGAGGAGACAGTAGGTACCCGAGGGGGCCAGAGACATCCCCTGGTGTGGGATAAAAGTTGAGTGGAGGATAGAGGATACTGCCAGAAATTCAGGGATCTCTAGGTCCAGCAGGGGCCTTTTGAATCTAGGATGCAAACTCTAGTTTGGAAGCATTCAACTACTGTGGCCTGGGGGTACCTGTCAACTAGGAAAAGATGGGGTAACCTGTCCTTAAGGGGGGTTTGGCCTAGCCACAGGTCGACCTTGTGGCCAGAATGAGGGTGGAAGCGGATGTTGTTGGTGAAGTGAGGGAGACTGCAAAGTAACGACCTCCATACTCGCAAAATTTTGGGACCAGCCCTGCCAACTGGGAGCCAAGCTTCTTCCTCACAGTGGTATTTGTGATGAACAACCTCCTACCAAAGGTGGTTCTCCTATGTAGCAAAGCGCCACCACCACTTGCCAATTAGGGCTAGGTTATTGGATCTGAGATTGCAGATGCCTAGGCCCCCTTGAGATTTGGGAGTGTGCACTCTTGCCCAAGATATGAGGTGGTATTTTCTCCCCCTTCTTCGGTCCAAAGGAAGTTCCTCATGAGTTTCTCTAGATAGTCGGCCACCAAGGATGGCATGAGGAAGAGAGACATCTGAAAAATAGGAATATTGGAGAGGGTAGCCGTTATAAGGGCGTGGGGGAGAGCTATCTGCCCTTCCAGTCAGCCTGCCTGCAATCAAATTTGTATACAATGTGACTCCATTGACTGGTTTTGGGTTTCCTAATGCAAAGTGGCAGACCCAAGTCAGTGGAGGGAAAATCTTCCACCTTGCATCCCAATTTGTTGGCTAGAGAAGTGAGAAGCTGGGGCTGAAGGGCAAACCTCATCACCTTTGTTTTAGCCATGTTAACCCTGAAACCCATACCCATCTCGAAGCATTTGAGAAAAAGTCTTAGGTAGTCGATCTGGAAGGGGTCAGCATTGCAGAAAATTAGGGTGTCATTGGTGTATTTCAGGTCCATTTCTCCCCCACCTTGAAGCCTTAGAGGAAGCCACCTCTGTACATACCCGTGATCGACTTGCTGAAGACATCGCTGCTCTGGGTTAGCCGTTAACGAGCACTGAAAATAATGGGTTGGAAATGCACGCTCTGATCCAGGATCTCCAATGCTGGCTGAAACCTGTTCTGGAAAGGGTTTCATCTAGGATTTTCCAATCTACATGATCAAAGACTTTTTCCCAATCTAATTTGATGACCACCCCTAGGGTTTTAGCCAAGTGACGGGAGTGGATGCATTCATGCGCCATTAAGGCACCATCTAAGATTTGGCGGTCCTTAACAAAAGCTCTTTGTGATGGGGAATTGACCCACCCGAGGATAGCCCTTAGTCTGGTGGTTAGGACCTTGGACAAAATTTTGTTAGAGCTATTAATGACGCTAATAGGACGGAAATCTTATAGTTCCTCAGCCCCTTCAATCTTGGGGATTAGGGCGATGAATGTGGCATTTATGGTCTTGATTATGATCCCTCTCTCGTGGAATTTATTAAATATGGCGACTAAGTCAGGGCACATGGTATCCCATAATTGTTGAAAAATGTTAGCGGCTAACCGTTTGGACCTGGGGCTCGGTCTTGTCCTAGTTCTTTGATAGTCGAGAGAATTTCCTCTTCGAAGAAGGTTCTTTTGAGCCAGGCGGCTTGATGAGGAGGAATGGAGTTGAAAGAGAGGACGACCATTTGCAATCTACGCCCTAATGGCGCTGAGAAGAGTTTCTCGAAACTTGATAATAGCCTCCTCGATTAGGTGAGGTTGATCGAAAATCTGGTTATTGACCTCTCCGGCAGTTTTTTTTAATACACGCATGGCAAATTGTAGACCTTTACCCAAATTAATTTGAGATTCAGTTCATCAAAAAATAAATAAAAAAAATCCTCAAGGTCTTAAGCTGAAGTTGTGATCAATCAAAATGTGATCATGAATTGTCTTATGTCTCCTGCTCTTTTGTCCTACAAGTCTTGCAGTTGGCTTATCATTACCGGTTCCTATAGTTGCTTTATTTAAGTGTCAATATAAAGCATCAAGTCTCGATATTTCATTAAGAAGCCTTCATTAGCTGCTCCAAGAGCCTTGGCAATTTTGTTCTAATCAGCCTCGTGCTTCGAACTTTTGAGTCAATCTGACTACACGTTTATCCAGATTAGTTGCCCCAACTCACTCAATCTCAAACCATTTGATACATCACTCAATGGACACTTCTTCTGTGATAGGTCTTCCTGCAAATTTCAGGTGGGAGACGGGTTGTAGATCTGGTCAAGGAGAGAAACCTATGATCCACCCCATAGTTGTTGGAAATGCTTGAGATTTAATTTAGGAATTAGAATCGCGGGTGCTTGGAAGATTTCTGTTGTCGAAATTGCTATTCGTACATGGGGAATTGCCGGAAATTCGATTCCTACTTTATTGGAATCAAGTTTCAACCTAAATGGAATTAAGATGCGTACCTCTATGGAATTGTGTTTCAACCCAAATGGAATAAAATTTCTACTTCTTTGGATCGAGTTTCAGATGAATTGGAATCAGTATTCATACTAGTTTCGATTTGAGTTTTGACCCATGTGGAATCGAGATTCTTACCTCTATAGATCGATTTTCAATCCAATTGGAATCGAGATTCCTACATCTATGCAATCGACACCCAAGAGTTTAGCACCGCACCAGAAATCATCAGGAAATTTGTTTCATAGGGCAAAAGGTTCAAGTTTCTAGAGTGATTTTATGCAAGAATCATGGTTTTAAAATGCGGCCGCATCGCTGCATCTTCGGCCGCATAAAGCGTTATGCGCTGGGCAGCGCATCGCAATAGGCCGCATATGTGCTTCGGAGAGATACGCCCGCATATGCGCCACATCTCTCCGCATATACAGCTGCATCTCGCACCCAGCCATTTCCGTGGAAAAAAAACCCTCAGGCATGGGTATTTTGGACATTTTGAGCTCCAAAAAAGGAGGGAAAGGGTTTTGGGGGGTATTATACTCCCCAAACAACTAAAAACAGCCACATCTGTGGCTTTTTCTGAATCAAATCAATAACAAAAAGGTGGAGGAATTTTTTTTTGTGAAGTTATTAGATTTTCTATTGCTTGATGATTGGTTGATTTACATTTTTTGGGTGTTGATTTGAGGAAGTTTAGGCGAAGTTTAGACTGATGATGCACATGGAGACTCTCAAGATAACTTCTTTGATTAAGATTTGAAATTTAGAATCTCAAGACTTGAGAGTTGAGAAATGATGATGATTTGTCTTGAGCTTGACTTTTGAACTCTTTAATATTTAGAGACTTTTAGTTTGCATTTTGTAACTTTAAAGTTTGTGGTTGCAAATTTGTGATTATGGTTGTTGAATGTTTTATGAAGTTAGTTTCAATTTTCTAGCTTCTATTAGGGGATAGTTGATACAGAATCTCCGACATGCGACAATTGATACTTTTGGAGTTAATGAAAAAACTAAATACGTACTATCACATAAATCACTTTCATATTTTTACTATGCATTAACCTATTTTTTAGATTTTGTAGAATTTTTTATATTTATTGATTGTATCCTGGTGATGCACCGCATTGCCGCATCCCCCCCCCCCCCAATACATCAGGCCACATCTCGCATTTTAAAACACTAGCAAGAATTCCTTAGTATGGAATCAATGTATTTAGTATGCTTAGCCATGGTTCCCCTTGCATTGGAATTGGGATCCTCAAAGGTCATAAAGACCTGGACAAGGGTTTCCCTAGTATTTAAATCGGTGTATTGAGCCTTAATTACAATATCTGTATCAAGGTTGAGTGGCCTAGATTTGGGTTAAGTAGAATTAATAGACACGTATAAGTCCATTAGATGGTGGTTATAAAACAAACTGAGATTTTGATTTCATATTTATAGTTGAAAATGGTGATCTATTTATGCCATTTTGTTGCACTGTATTGTAATCCTAATCAAACCCAAATCTCTTTCCCAATTTTCTTTAAGAAACACCCGCCAGTTCTTGCACTATTAGAAATATATTCCAAATCGAACCCAAATCTTTTCCCCAATTATCTTTAAAAAAAGTTACCGAGTTCTAGCATTATTAGAAAAACAATTGTCTAGGATCCCTAATCCTATTTTCAAAATATAGCATTTACTTGACATGGTGAAATGAAAATGAGTACATTTAATGAAAGAGAAAATAAAATAATATTTGTTTATTTATATTCACATTGTATTGTAGCGTTAGTGCTAAAAGTCTAAACATCACAAGCACACTCATGGAGAGACGGTGATAGAAATTTTAACATTATAAGAGAGCACAAAATTACGACATATAAAATTACACTGTTGTGGCATTTGAATTCCACAAAAGTTGAATTGAGATTCCTAAAATGTGGAATCGAGGTTCCTAAATTCAAGGAAACAGGTTTCATGAAGATTCCTTAACAGAATTGCAGAATCGAGATTCTGAAACAGAATTGCTACTTGGGGTGAGAGATTCTGGTAACTATGATCCATCCAACAGAGCCGCTCCATGGATAATGACACTTGATGGAAACCATCATGATTGTGAATTGGAAATGGTGCGAGGCTCCTCCATTTTCTAATATTTCTAAAAAGCCTTTAAGTATGATTTGAGTAATATGGGTACTTATGGCCTCATTGAAGGTATGGCCTTTAATAGAGCAGAATGATGGACCAGGATTCATGTAGCCGACCCCAATTATTGAGAAAAAGTTATGATAATGATGATGATGATGAGTCGTGGAATGCATGTCTTAATTCAACCATTTCATTTGTTGCAAAAAGCAAAGAACACATTTTGTGCGACACCTAGAAAATCGCAATGCACATGATTTTGTGGCTCAATCTTTCAAGTCACCCCCAGCTTCCAGGATTTACTTGAATCATGGGCCATTAAAATTTTATATCATTCGTTGCTATCATTTTTCCCCTTTATATCTCCAAGTTTATACATGTATAAAAATCCATTCCCTCAGATCAATGGTGTGTCCACTTTTTATTGGTTTTCTATTTGGTTATAAATTGCAATCAAGATTATGTTTTCTAAAACATCTTGTGTGTGGTATGCAGGAGACGAGAGAAAATAAATGCAGCCAAGTTGCGGATCTGTGAGATTATAAAACCCATGAGTTCTTTTACTTGTAAAAGCGAAAATGGTGTGACTATTGATTTGGACGATGATGACAGTAACCACCCATCACAATGTGTGCACTTCAAGAAAAAACGCAAACGTGGAATCGAAGGAAATAATATTGATTGGGAGGACAATACTATTGAGATCCTTCTCCTCCATCGGGTATGTGTAATCTACTTGACCCTTTGCTTGTGCAAGTAATGTAAGTTTTGCCTGAATTATCCAATATAGTTGATATTATTCTATTATATTTGTTTCTGATAATTTTTTTTTTTTGGGTTAATAAGTGGGGAATACAGGCCCCTACCTGTTTTTAGAAATGGTAAGTCGTTTTCGAATGTGTCAGTGGGAAACCTAGACCAGTAGCTGAGGCTCTAGTGGTGCTACCACCATGACCTCAACCCCTTTTTGATTCTTCTGTCTGTGAATTTCCATTCTATTAGCTTATGCATCACTTTCAATCATGTTATTTGACATGGTATCTTTAGAAAATCAATATGCTAAAACTAAGAGAGCATCAAATGTGCAGTTCGAATATTGCTTCAATTGCTTACAATCTGGTTTAGGTGTTGGTTTTTTTGTGAATGGTATGAAGGAATGGAAAAAAAGCTTAATAAAAATTAAACTGAACCTTACCATGAGCATCTTTTGAAAAGGTCCCAAGTGCCACCAATCAATCTGTTTCTTTCTTGCCTTTAGCTTAGACTCAAATCTGCAATCTTGCCTTTTCGTGTTTCCAGATTCAGATACTTCACAAACACAAACCAATGCTTTAATAATTTGTTTGTAGATGATCTCCCTAAGTTCCTTTTCCAGTGCCTAGTTTGACATTTCATCATACCTGCGGTGCTACCATGTCACTTGACACCCGCAGGTTTTTCTCTTAGTTCAAATTCATCTGCCAAATCCTTGTAAACTTCACTGTTTTCTTCATTTTGACCTCAGTAAGCAAAGAAAAAGAAAGGTAACAGGCCATTGGACATGAAATATATTGCTGCAATTATACTGATTGTCTGTACCAATATCTGGACTGTATAACTTAATCTCCACTCAAACAAGTATTGGAACATGGACTGCTTAGTGAGGATAGCTACGATAATGTCCCCTGTATACTGTACCCTCCCCAGTCCCTACATCCACAAACTCATTAGAGCAGCAATGAGGATGCCTCACCTTGCATAGGACGATGGCCTATGATTGCATGAGCTTTAGTAATATGTCTTTTAGGAATTTATGAGTATTTACAAAGTATACATCTTAAGCAGGGTTTCTAAACTCAGCAATTTGACTCAGGACTCACCTGAGTTGACTTGCCTCAGGACCTGTCAGAGTCTTTCCAGCATATCTTAAGACTCATCTGGGTCTGTTAATATCTTCCAATATGACTCAATTGAGTCTTACAGAGATGACTTGGACAGGACAACATTGAGTCTTTGTTACATGTATGTGTTTTTAAACATTGACATTTAAGTCTTCTTTTGTCGTTTTCATCATAGGAAAACTTCCCATAGCTTTTCCAATGATTGAAGTGTCTCACAACATTAGAATATTTCAAAAATCATCATTTGGAAGTAGACTAGCAGATCTATCCATCCAGCTATTCTTGTACTCTCTCCTTTGTTCCAAGGTGATAGGAAACAGCTTCATATTTTTGCAACTGCATGGAAAGTATCTCAAGCACCCTTCCTTGTGATGTTTGTGTTTCTTTATTCACAGGTAAGCGAAGAGGAAGTTGTGAAAGGCCACTATCGCTCATTATTAGATCGATACGTCTTTGATTTTGATAGTGACATTTCTGATGAGGAGTTCAGAAGTTATGCACGTTCTAAAGATGAAGTGAATGGGGTCCCACTCTTACTTTTCTCTTGGTACTATTTCTCTACAGTTTTCACATAGGCTAATGTTTGTTTCTGGCATATGTTCCTTGCAGGTGGCAAAATTGTTATCCAATAGCTTATCAATGATAAGGAAACAATAAGCATTAAGCCGTGGTCCTAGTTCTGGTTATGGGATGCTGATAACTCTATACTCTGTGGGCTTGAGGTCCTCGTTTGGAGAGCCAACTGGGCCATATTGTAAACACCATGATGAAGATCAAAATTGGATAAGTTTCTATACAATTATCTCTCTGAATAGGCTTAATTATCTTGCTTGGTGGAAAGTTGTTTCTCGTTCTCCTTGAAAAATTTAACTCGAACACATAACTAGGAAGAAAATCAGGAATCTCGATTTCAAAACCTCTGAAAAAAATGTTGAGAAATCTTTTTTCGTTGCAAATAATGATAGATATGAAACAAAAAGGTCTCAAAATGATGGTGGAAAGCGTCGTAGTAATAGGTGACCTCCTAGATGTGATCATTGTAATAATATAGGACATGTGAAGGTTGAGTATTATACCCACACTTAAAGCTCATTAATAACAGGACAACAGTCAGATCTACTGCTCAGATAGCAACCATTCAAACCCATCACTGTAACTGTGATCATTATCAACAATCAAGTAACAATACTGGTTCTTCTTTCAGCCTTGATTCTTCTTCTTCATTCTCTGACACAGGTAACCCATATGCTTCCATGTCTTCCTGTAATACTTTTCCTTATATAATAAACTCAGAGGCTACAGATCATATGACTGGTAACTTACAATGTCTATCCAACATAAAAAATATAAACTCTGTATTGATTGCTAATGGTTCTTTGATTCTTGTCTATGGTGTTGGTAAGACTAATTTCTTCTCCAAGTATCATAACTTTGAAGTTTTGTTTATGTCATCCGTTTCCTTAACTTGATGCATGTTAGTAGAATTACTCAGAGCATGAATTGCAATGTTATTTTTTCTCCAAACTCTGTGAATTTTCGAGACCGGGACATTGGGAGGAAGATTCGTGAAGGAAGACTGTCTCATGGGTTATATTTATTTAATCAAGAGAATAAGGCTTTAATTTCCAGTCAAGATAATTTCGATATTAATAAATTGTGGCATTGGAGATTTGGACACCCCTCTGATAAAGTTTTAAAGATTTTAATGCCATATTTATCTTTAAACTCTCATTCTTGTGAAGTTTGTAAATTCTCAAAAGAGAACTTTCTTTTCAGTCTTCTATGCATGTTTCAAAGGAACTTTTTTATTTGATACATTCTGATGTGTAGGGACCAACCCCTGTTAATTCTTTTGCCGGCTTTAAATATTTTGTTATTTTTATTGATGATTGGTCTCGTGTTACTTGGGTATAATTATTGAAATAAAAAAACATAAGTTTTCCATATGTTCAAAGAATTTTCCAAACTGATTTCCACTCAATACAATAGCAATATTATAATTATGTTGACTGATAATGGCATATAGTATGTGAACATAGCTTTTTCTGAGCATTTATTGAATCTTGATATTATATACCAAACATCGTGTGTTGGAACATCTCAGCAGATTAGAGTTACTGAAAGGAAAAATAGACACCTTTTTGAAGCTACAAGGTCTTTGATGTTTCAAATACATGTTCCAAATATTTATTGGTCTAAAGCTGTTTTAATTGCTTACTATTTGATTAACAAACTTCTAAGTAAAATTCTTAAGGATAAATCTCCCCTAGAAATTTTGAAAAATAAAAAATTAATTTATCTCATTTACGAGTTTTTGGATGCGTGTCTTATGTTCATGTGGCTAGGCACAATCGGGATAAACTTGATAAACGTTTCAGTAGATGTATACTTCTTGGATACTCCTCTACTAAAAAGAGACGTAAATGTTATGATCTCACAACCAGAAAAATGCATATTTCTAGATATGTTCAATTTGTTGAAACACAATCCTATTTCCATGATACATTAGAGAGTGGTTGGAAAATAGGACTCAGGGGAAGTGTTCAAGAGATCGTTTGCCCTTGTCTAATATTAGTACCAGTGATGTGTCCAACACACTCAGATTAAGTCATGATGATCAAGCTAAAACGGAAGATACATCTGAAATTGACCGAACTGGTTTAGAAAAAAAAACTCCGCCGTAGCCCCACTTGATCCCCCTTTGCATAGGTCTTCTAGTATCTCACAACTTTCCTCTAGATTTCAAGATTTTTATACTTACCATGCAGTTTTTTATCATGTTCAAAATCATATTTCTTATGAAAATATCTCTTCTGGCTATTTCGCTTTTTTGAGTTCTATTTCTAATAATTCTGAGTCAACTAATTTTCAAAATGTTATTTCTCTACCTGTGTGGAGGAAGGCCATGAAAGATGAACTTCAAGCACTTGACAATAACCATGTTTGGGACATTGTCAAGCTACATAAAGGGAAGAAAGCAGTTTGATGCATATGGGTTTATAAAATCAAATATAATGTAAGTGGCCAAAGGATTTGTCCAAACTTATGAAATCGACCATAAATAGATGTTTAGACCAGTTATCAAGATGAATATTATTCATGTTCTTTTGTCTATTGCAGTTAATTGTGGGTGATCTCTGCATTAGATAGATGTTAAAAACACCTTCTTATATAATGACCTTGAAAAAAAAGTCTATATGAGTATTCCTCCAGGCCATGCTAATGAAAATGAGAAAGGTCATGTATGCAAATTAAAGAAGGCCTTGTATGGACTTAAATAATCACCTCGCGCATGGTATATCAAACTCAACTCAACTTTGGTGAGTATCGGCTTTCTTAGAAGTTCAGCTGATTCTTCGATGTTTATAAAAAATTGGACTGCAGGTACAATAGTTGTTCTCATTTATGTTGATATTATAGTAGCAAGTGATGATAAAGAAAGAATCATATAACTTAAAAAATTTCTTCACAAGAAATTTGACATCAAGGACCTTGGTCAACTAAAGTATTTTTTCGGTATTGAAGTAACACATTAAAAAAATGGACTCTTCATTTCTCAATAGAAATATGTATTTGATATGTTGAAAGAAACTGATAAACTGGGAGTCAAACCCACTAACACTCATGGTGATATTAATTGCAAACTTAATTAAACAAATGGGAAACCTCTTGAAGATATCGGCTGCTTTTAGAGACTTGTGGGCAGATTGATTTATTTGATTGTGACACGACCAGATATAATATATGTGGTAAATCTTGTGAGCCAATTTATGCATGCTCCTATATCATGTTATATAGAGGTTGTCGATAGAATTTTCAGATATCTTGAGTCGTCACCCAGTAGAGGTGTTTGATTGAAATCGAATGGTCACACTAATATTATTGGTTATTTTGATGTTAACTGAGTAGGTCGTCCAATTGACAAGAGGTCCACTACCGGCTATTGTACATTGGTCGGAGGAAACTTAGTTACTTGAAAAAATAAGAAATAAAATGTAATTGCTCGATCCAGTGCAAAGACCGAATATAGAGCTCTGACTTTAACTACAAGTGAATTGATGCAACTAAAATACCTACTTTGAAATATGGGATTCCCAATGGTCAATCAAATAGAGATGTTTTGGGTAATCAAGCAGTTATGCATATAGCTTCCAATCCAAATTTTCATGAATGAACCAATCACATAGAAGTTGATTGTCACTTAGTGAGAGAAAAGACTCAGTAAAAAATTATTAGTATTCTTTGTGTTCAACGTGAAAACCAACTTGCAGATATGTTTATCAAAGCTATTGCAAAGATAAGGTTCCATAAGATACTGTCCAAGTTGGGCTCCATTGATATTTATACACCAACTTGAGGGGGAGTGTTGATAATTATAGAAACCAGATATTGAGTTTCATATATTGTATATTACAAGATATTAAAGTTTCCTATATTGAGTTTCTTATTTTGTGGGATTACTATTGTAGTGAGATTTATTTCCCAAAAGACAAGAATTGTAACTCTATAAATCTCTTGTAAACTAGAGTATTCCTTATGTATAAGCTATTCGTTTACCCTCCGTGGATGTAGGAACCATTGCTGAACCACGTATATGATGTGTTGATCTATTTCTCTCTTCTCGTCTCTATTTCTTTTATCGCAAATTCTACAAAATCTTATCGTATATAATCATCGAAAGAAAATGATCAATACATTTACATGAATAAAAATATTAGCATTATTTGTTATAGGAAAAGTACACCAAAAAAATGAGCTATTTAATGTTTTAACTATTTCTTAATTTACATATAACTACTAATTTTTTATTTTTAAACTAGTCATTTTTAATTATCTCATCGTTTAGGTGGGTGATAATTTTTCCTTTATTGTTTTAGCAATATAATTAAGTAAGGAAAAAGTTTATATAAGGTTGCAAACAAAGGCACCTCAAAAATCTTTCAGAAAGGTTGTTTTAATGTTGGAAAACCCTCTAATTGATCATCTCAACATTGAAATGTATGAATATGAAAAAAAAAAAAAGTTTTTGTGTTCCAAAAATAGTACATCTTGCAATACATTATCTAGACCGTCTATTTTCAAGATTTTCATATGTTTATAGAACCACTTGATTTTAACCATTTTTGGAGTTAAAAATTTTCTAATTAGATATGAAAATATAATTTAACATAATCCTAAGAATATTTTAAAAGAAAATTATATGTTATGATAAAATTTAGAGGTACACCCTAATTGGATTGTTTAAGGTTGCAACCTTTATAGAAACCACACCCTTTAAGTAATTTGGTAATTTTTTAAAATAGAAAAAGTTATTACATGGATGCTTTAATCGCACTTGTATGCCCTATTCGATACAAACCGGCAACGCAAGATGACTAACAACATAAGGCGTTGCCGCATAAAAATGCTCCCAGCTCTTAAAAATTTCCGGTCTAGATTAGAATGGGTTGAATTAGATTAGGTTCGGTGGGTAGGCAATTGGGCCCGGTTAATTTGCTTGATTCGACCAATTTTTGAGAAATTATTAGAAATATATTTTAATTTTTAGCCTAATTGAAAAAAACCTTCAACTTTTATAAACCTCATTCATTCTTTTATTCTTCAATTTTGGTTTTTTGTTTTTTTTTTACCAAAATAGCCTTCACGGTAGTTATATTACCGTGAAGGCCCTATCATATGGTACTTACAGTACCGTAATGACTACCGCATTTTATAATGAACGTTAAGTAACATAATTCTTGAAAGCCTACCAAAAAGCTACTGGAAATTTGAGCATTATGGTATTTTAAGTACCGTAATGCTTAGCTTAGTCATTACAGTACTTAAAAGGTCGTAATTTTTAAAAGCTTACTGG